ACCACTGTCCCACTGTCCCCACTGTCCCACTGTCCCACTGTCCCCGCCGCTGTCCCACTGAGGTGTCCCACTGTTCCCACCACTGTCCCCACTGTCCCCACCTCTGTCCCCACTGTACCTCTGCCCCATTGTCCCACCGCCGTCCTCGCCACCGCCCTCACCACTGTCCCCACCACCACTGTACCCTCCAGTGTCCCACTGCTTCCACCACATGCCCAGTGTCCCTACACCACTGTCTCCACCACTACCGTCCCCATCACTGTCCCACTGTCCCCACTGTTCCCACCATTGTCCCCGCTGTCCCCACCAGTGCCCCCACCAGTGTCTCACTGTCCCCACTCCCCCCACCATTGTCCCACCACGGCCCCACTCTCCCCACTTTCCCCACGGTCCCCACCATTGTCCCACTATCTCCACCGTACCCACCAGTGTCCAACTGTCCTCGCCGCTGTCCCACTGTGCTGTCCCAGCGTCCCCACTGTCCCCATCACTGTCCCATTGTCCCCACTGTCCCCACCACTTTCCCCACTGTACTACTGTCCCACCACTGTCCTCACCACCGCCTTCACCACTGTCCCCACCACTACCGTCCCCACCACTGTCCCACTGTCCTCACCACTGTCCCGCTGTCCCCTCACCACTGTCCCCACCAGCATCGTCCCCACCACTGTCCGCACTACTGTCCCACTGTCCCCGCACCACTGTCCCCAACACCGCCGTTCCCACCACTGCCCCAACATCCCCACCATTGTCCAACTGTCCCGAGGAGCGGGAATCGTTTGCCGGCGGCGAGGGGGGGGGGGTTCGAACCGGTAATGACCCCTCCGGTTTTCCGGAGGGGGGGGGCTTCAAACGGGTAGTGACCCCCCCCCTTTTTATGATGGACTGGGAGGGGGGGAGAGGGGTTTGAACCGGTAGTGACCCCCCCCCCTGGTTTTCGAGGGGGGGGGGGGCGGACTGGCTGGGATTCCCCAGTGACCCCCTCCGGTTTTCCGCCAGCAGTGGTAGAACACGCTCTTTCTGATATACAAGACTGTATTGGCGCGTTGCCCCATGCACCTTGAGCATCGAGGTGTGGCATACAGGCAAAAGAGTACAAACACAAAACATAACGTGTAGCGATACCTCATTGTTGACTTTTCAGGCATCGTCATCGAATTCATGCTAGTATCATTCGTTCATGCTTCCTCTTCCTCTCCCTCCTTCTCGCCCTACCATGCAATTCGTCCATCCTCATCAGCACTTGTTGAGGAGGCTCCCCTTCGAGAGCCTCTTTTTTCTTGGGGGACGACCCCAGAGAACCCCAGTATATTCTTTTGATGCTTGAGGGCACTATGCCTCAAGACCCCGTGTCGGGCACTTCAAGCCACCTTCCGCGGCCTGCAGTGGCCCGCCCAGGCTGAGAAGCCTCAGCCGCAACAGCAGTGACACGCACACGGGGGGAGGAGGAGGAGGAAGGAGAGAACTGCACAGCGGCCTGCAGGCTCCACGCACGCGACAGAAAGGGATGGCGACGAGCCGTAACCCGCAGCCGTGCTTCAAAGTGCTCCTCGGGAGTCCCTGGGGTGCCCTTGCGCCTGGCAGAGTGGGCAGATAGGAACGCATCGATACAGGCAGCAAATAGAACATTAGACGAGCGTGGTGAGGGTGAGAGTAGGAGAGAGGGGAAGAGCCAGGGAAAACCCTCAGGAAACGACGAAGATGCAGGAAGAATGTGTCCAAGCCAGCGATGAAAGAGGTGACGGAGTCGAGGGCAGTGGGCATAGTGAGCAACAGAGTCCAGGTCACGACCATGCGCATGTGGGCACCCCAGGAGGCAGCCTTTCGCTGCCGAGTGGAAACGAGTCGGGGTTACAGACCGACCTCGATAAGAATCTGAGGACCGAAACAATCACGTACGGCTGGGTCTTCTGGATCACGAAAGAGGCATTAACATAAAACCTGTCAATCATCTCGCGGCGGATAAGAGGGAACCATTTCTGGATACGACGCAGGAGGATTCTGCGAGGATGTTCCCGACTCGACGTGTTTGCCCATAGCATGATATATAGCCGACGTTGTAGCTTCCTGTGTTCCGAGGGGATCCGCGCGAGAAGAGTAGGGGATGATGGACCAGGTGGGGTACGAGGTAGTCTGAAATACCACTCATACAGACGGCGCATATATGAGAGGAACGATGAGTTCCACCATCCACTGCAGAAACGAATAAAGATGCGTTCAGGTTCGTCTCGCAGGGCTTCCAGCCTCGATAGTATGGCGCTGAAAGTGCTGCTGCGGATAATCTACCGAAGGCAGGTAGCACGGGCAAGGGTCTGAATATCAGGAAACTCAACAGGAAGATGGAAACTAGCTAGTTGTGTACACAGGTCGTATGAAAGTGAGTTGCGTGGGCCAGCTGCGAGGTACATGACCGCCTCCCTATACATGTGGATAAGAGCAAGGGAAATATGATGAATTTGAAGAGTGAAGGACAGGATGTATACACACATGACTTTGAATG